AAGCGCCGAGCAAACGCAGCCAGAAAGCCTGGCGAGACCCGGGTCGCTCTGGGCCGGGCCTTCGGGGTTCTTCCCTCGAGCCCCAAGATCCGGAGCAGCCGCAGGACGGGGACTCCGCGCACGACGGTCCTGGTCTCGGTCTTAAAGCCTTAAAACCAGCAGATAGCAGGTGCCTTTGCAAAGCGAGTGAGGGCTGGTCATCTGCCAAGCGCCTCTGCTCCCGGCTCCCACCCGAAAGGGCGGAGTACACACCGGGTCACAGATCCGGAGCCGGGGTCGCTCGCGCGGCGGTCCAGCCCTGGTTCTGGGCTGAAATCCAGCCTCGGGGGTTCCCCTGTATTGTCGGATTTAGAAAATAAGTGGGTTTAGCCAGGGCTTTCACTAACAAATCAATTCATAACAAAGAGCTGGGTGAGCGCTGGCAGGTCGCTGGCGCCGGGACAGCTGGCGGTCCTTGCCCCTGCCTTCTGCTCCAGCGTTCCGGTTTTATCCAGGCACCTACGCGGCAGGTGGGCACGGTTCTCCCCCGACGGTAAATGAGGAAATCCATGAGCGAAGGTGAAGGACTCCTACTCTCGCGTCCACACTCACATCTTGACCCAATCCGCAAGGCCAGCCTCTCAGTGGCAAAACAGCCCTGGAATCCCCTAGAACCCCTAAACTTGTCGCTCTGCAGCGACTCAAGTCGCCCTACCATGTTGCTTCGGGCCCACAGACCTAGACTTAAGCCTTTGTGCAGTGGAGGAGGAGGACGGGCAGGGGCTAGAACCCCCCACCCAGGGGGGCGAGTGTTCGAGGAACGCTCCTTGGCGGTGCTAACTGCTGTTGGTGAGGCGCCCAGGGCGCGGCGGGTCCACCCCAGTGAACAAGCCCCAGGAGCATCCCTCGTGCGAGTGAAGACAGCAAGGGGAAAAGCCGTCCGAAGCTCTGGGAATATCGAAGAGACGAGAGAACCAGGCGGCGGGATCTGGGAGCTGACATCCCAGACGCGCAGCCCCGGCCAGGCGCTTTCCGCGGCCACTGCGTGTCCCCTCCACTCCGCCACCCAGGAGCAACCCCAGGGGTCCCGGTGTTTGGGTGGCCCAGGAGGAGAGAGGACCGAGGGGCAGGAAAAGATACCCCCCCATGCCATCTCTAGATGTTACAGACACTCAAAAATACCCTCCTTCTACTGCTCAGACCCCTGTCACACGCTCGGACGCAGACCACAGACGCCGCAGTCCGCGCTCCACACAGCCTCACCCGCCCTCCCACCGAGCACTAGGCTGGCCGAGCGGGCACTGTGGGCGGAGCCCGAGTCACCGGGTGGGGACCGCCCCCGGGCCCCGCCCCGCGCTGCCAGCCCCTCCCCGTCACTCCTCGGCGGGGGCCTGCGGGGCCAGTGTGGCAGCGCCGGGAGCTCAGATGGCAGCTCAGCCGGCTGACTTGGCCAGGGTGTGAGTCCCCTGCGGGTCGCGCGGTACCGATCGCGCCGGGGTTTCCTAGGAGGAGAAGTTACCGGTAATTACGGCCGGACCTGAGACCCGCAGGCCGACTAGGAAGAGTTCTGTGACAGGCACCTGGTTGCAGAGGCACGTACCCTAAACACTCTCCAACCGCAAAGAAATTTTCCACAGCAGATGACACCGACGGCCGCTCAACCCCCCGTTCCCCACGTGAGGGAGCCCTCCTCCCCAGGGGCCCAGTGCTTCAGTGGTCCCCCTGCTGGGAGACTTCCTTTTTTTTCTTCCAACACAGATCTGAGTGAAAGCCAGACTCAACGACCAGTCCCCATCGGAATTGGACCCAATGACCTGACTCGGATGCAAATTGGAGATTTCAGGCACTAGTTTCTCCGGAGCCGAGAGGAAACTCCGGGAATCTTTGAAATGGCAGAAACTACAAAAAGACAGAGGTCCATATTAATCATGAAGATGTGCTGGAACTGTGCAAAAATTCTGGGAAGATACAGACCATAATAACTTGGAGGAGAATTAAATGGCATAATAAGGTACACGGGAAGTCTCTAGGCAGTGCCTGGTGGGCAGAATCAGTATTCGCTCTTACACAAAGGAAACAGACGCCAGGGGACCTGGCTGGCCCAAGGTCACATTAGTTGGTGGTGGAGAGAGAAAAAGTCTATAGTCTCCCCATTCCCTGATTCATGGCTCGTGTACTTTAAGTCCTTTCTAAAACCATGTGAGGGGGTAAATAAATCAGTGTAGTCAGTAAATAAATGTGTTTCACTCCTGTTAAAAAATCAGAGTAATTAAAGAAATTAGACTTCTGCCCCTCTCCTTGCTACTGCCAAAAGGAGTCTATCCTCCAAGTTCCCAAGCCTAAGGCAAAGGCTCCTGTTTCCTTTCCATCTGAGTCCCTTTCCACTCAAGGAGTTCATTTGCCAGGTCACCTTGCCCTGATGCAATCTCAGCCTCTCTCAGCCACCCTCAGATACCCGCCACAGCCCTGTTGGAATTCTGCTTCCCTCTTCCTTCTCACATTGGCATTCACATTCCTGGGTACTGTCACATACAGCACTGCTGAGTTGGAGACAAGACCAGGAAAGCTAAAGTCAGGGGAAAAATAAAAAATAGATGTAACAACAATAACCAGTTCAAAATTTTGTTATAATTCTATTAGGACAATAGAAGAGCTTATCAAAATCCTCCTAGAAGTGAAAAGAGAGCTTCCATATTGATTCACACAAACTCCCTATCCCTTTATTACCTTGAATTTGTTTTGTTTTGTTTTATTGGGGACAGGGTCTTCCCATGTTGCCCTTTCTGGCCTCAGACTTCTGGGTTCAAGTGCTTCTGCCTGGGTCTCTGAGTAACTGGGACTAGAGGTGCACGCCACCGTGTCCAGGGCTCCCTTGATGTT